ACTGAAACTATTTCACACATTAGTATTTAATTTAAAATGTAAATATCAAAGTAGAACAAAATATAAAATTTAATAAAAACATTTATATCTACTTCTCTGTATTATGTAATCATTAAAATGTTATAAAATAATATTTTATCTTATTGGAACATATTTTTGGTGTATTGATAATGAAAAAGAAAACAATGATACAAATAACTTAAATTCCAAGCCTATCTTCATTTTTAAAAAGTATGCAAAAAAATTGCGGTTTTTTTGTGTGTTTGCATACACATATATTTGAAAAGGGTATATTAAAATTTAATATTGGTTATCTTAGGGAAATGTGATTATTGATGAATATGTGTTTTTGACTTCTATGTGTTTGATGTAATAAACATGTCATGTGCATAATTTGATAAGCAAATATGAAATGTTCTTCAAAAACTCATATTCTTTGCTACATAGACTTTTCTGTTGCTCAACACTCATTTCAATTCACACTGTTAAAACTTGCCTGGTGACTTTATAATTACTTGGCTCCTCATGATATTTTTCATGCCAGAGTGTTCCCATCATCAGGGATGATCCATTACTCCCTCAGACACTACCCAAATCTAGAATGCCAATCGTCTCTTGCCCAATTATTATTTCAATATATTGACAAAGCTCTCTACATCCTCTGGGCAATAAATTCCACCCAGGCTCCACATGCCAGCCAATATCTAATCCAGCAACAAGTCTAACCCTTTCCATTGCCTTCAGGATGAAATCTCAAGTCTCAAGGAGATCCAGCAGAATTTTCATGATCTGGAACCTTCCCACCCCATCTCATGGCTGACAGTGCCTTGACTTCCTCTTCTATCCTCACAAGATTTCTCTCAATTCTAAAGCTCTCCTTAGTTCTCTGGGCTTTTATACTTGCAGCTTCTTTTATTTGAAATACCCTTCCTCCCTTCTACCCTATCCTCATCTTGTCTTAGCTAAATCTGGTTCATTAATGAAATCTTCTTGGCAGAAGCATTATTTCTGCAGGAGGTCTTCCCTGTTGGCCCCACGTTAGATTAGGACACCTGAATATATGCTTTCTTAGTGCCCTTCAGAAACAAGCATTGGCTTATAATTGAATATCCAATAAATATTTCCCCCCAAAACCCCAAAGTTCCATGAGGTCAGGTATTATGGGCAGTGTTTATTGTTGTGTTCTTAGTGCTTGCACAATACCTATCATATAACATCCTATGAAATATCTGTAGAATGAAGTAGTGAAGGAAATCTTGTTTTTAATTCTGATAGTTTCTTTAGCACCACTATCTCATCCTCACATCCTAATAACATTCACTAAAAGAAAAAAAAAAGGCAAATACTTGTGCCCAGATAATAGATGATATGTAGCTAAGCTTCCCTTTGTACTTTCTAAAGAGAACATCTCATATGTAAATTATAATTTTATTTCCTTAATGATTATCACTGATTTGAACATCATCCATATTATTGCTTGCTTAATAACAACTTCCCCAGGCCATAAAATAGGTAATTATAGTTATTATTAGTTAGTAATAGAAGAGGAGAGAAAGGTCTAAATAATACAGGTTAAGAAAATTGAAGGCTTAATATATTCTTTTTGAATGACTTTAAAAAAGAGGACATACATTATATCTACATATGTATATATTTATATATGTATATATGTATATATACACACATACAATTGGCTCTCATATCTTTGGCACTCACATAACAATATGAAGATATGGCATAATTTAAGTCAACAATAGCTTTTGAAGATACTTGATGAGACTCTGCTAAAACAAGAACATGAAATATGTATTTCTAATAAATAATAAAGAGGTCATTTAACAACAACAAAGATAAAATAGAGTAGGCATCAGAGACCGGGTAAAGGCATGATAATTTTCAAGAAAGGTAGCCACACAAATAGGGTCATACCATCCCACAACCCATAAATGTGAAATGCTTTCTAGTTCAGAGATGTTTTTATTAGCTAAAAACTGTGATTTTAAAATCAAAGCACAGATTTTATTCTTCGTTGGGTGATTCAATGGAAAAATCAGATGCTGCTAACTTCTATTTAGTATATGTTGATTTTTTCTCTGAAAATTCTTTGTTCTTATACTAGAACTAGAGGCTTGGTGCACAAAATTTGTGCACCAGAGGGTGGGGGGTGGGGGGTGTCCCTCAGTCTAGTCTGCACCCTCTCGCAATCCAGGACCCCTCGGTGGATGTCCAACTGCCGGGATCGAGCCTAAACCAGCAGTTGGACATCCCTCTCACAATCTGGGACCGCTGGCTCCTAACTGCTCACCTGCCTGCCTGATTGCCCCTAACCACCTCTGCCTGCCTGCCTGATCACCCTTAACCACCTCTGCCTCAGCCCCCACTGCCGCAGCTTTATCCTGAAGGACGTCCGGAATGACGTCTGGAAGGTCATTTGGCTATCCAGTCTAATTAGCATATTATGCTTTTATTATTATAGATTAAAAACTAATGACTTTCCGTATAACAAAATTATACATAAATACATCGTTAACCAAATGAAGACACATCTAAATAGAATACAGTGACAATGTCTTTTTACAGATGATTCTAAAACCCCTCTCTCTATATATAAAACCCTAATATGCAAATAGACTGAATGGCGGAACAACCAAACAACTGGTCACTATGACGTGCGCTGACCACTAGGGAGCAGGTGCGGAACATGGCAGGCATTAGCAACAAGCGGCAGAGCATGGAACATGGCGGGCATTGGCCAAGGCTGGATGGTTGGAGCAGGTGAGCGGGGGCACCAGACTATGGCAGGGTTGGGTGCCTGTCCAGTCACTGTCATGGGGGTGAGCCTCTGGTGCTTACTGAAAATTCTTTGCTCCTGCATGCCGCAGTCTTGCCAGGCACTCGCACCTGCTGCTGGTGCTGGCCCCGCTTGCACCCACTGCCAGTGCTAGAGTTGCCACTCGCAACCTCTGCTGGCGCCCGGCACTGGCCCCAATTGCTCAGCGCCATCAGTGGGTGCGAGTGACAGCTGCCAGCCCCGATTGCCCCTCAGGGCTTCTCCACCTCCCCCTGCTCTTGAGGAGCGATTGGGACTGGCAGCTGCCTCTTGCACCCACTGCCAGTAACGGCCCTGCTCACACTCGTAGCTGGCGCAAGAGATGCCACTCGCACCTGCTGCTGGTGCCCAGCACCTGCTGCTGGTGCCCAGCACCGGTCCTGATCGCTTGGCGCCGTCAGTGGGTGCAAGCGGTGGCTGCCAGCCCTGATCGCCCCAGAGGGCTTCTCCACCTCCCCCTGCTCCTGAGGAGTGATCTTGGGGCAGCAGCCGCTGCTTGCACCTGCTGACAGCACCAGCCCAACTCGCGGCGCCGGCCCCAATTGCTTTGTACTGTCAGCATGTGGGAGTGGCTGTGATGGGAGTGGAGCTGCCAGTAGACAGGGGACCAGGGGCCAGGGCAGGTGGTGCTGGGCGGGGGCGCAGAGGATGGGCTGAGACCCGCCCTTGTGCCGACTGCAGGCTCGTGGCCCACAATTTCTTTCAAGGTGTACA